GAAACGTGTGAGGGGTGTGCCGAATTGGGTGTGCGGGACGCGTGCGCGCGGCAGCGCGGGGGCCTTCGGTGGGGCTCCCTATGGGGCCACGAAACGTGTGAGCGGGTGTGCCGAATTGTGAGGGGTGTGCCGGGGTGTGCGGGACGCATGCGGGCGGCAGCACTGGGGCTTTCGGTGGGGCTCCCTATGGGGCCACGAAGCGTGTGAGGGGCGTGCCGAATTGGGTATGCGGGACGCATGCGGGCTGGGGCTTTCGGTGGGGCTCCTATGGGGCCACGTGTGAGGGGTGTGCCGAATTGGGTGTGCGGGACGCATGCGGGCGGCAGCACTGGGGCCTTCGGTGGGGCTCCCTATGGGGCCACGAAGCGTGTGAGGGTGTGCCGAATTGGTGTGCGAGACGCATGCGGGCGGCAGCGCTGGGCGCTGGGGCCGGTGGGGCTCCCTTTGGGGCCACGAAAGCGTGGGGCTGAACGAAACGTGTGAGGGGTGTGCCGAATTGGGTGTGCGGGACGCATGCGGGCGGCAGCACTGGTGCTTTCGGTGGGGCTCCCTATGGGGCCACGAAGCGTGTGAAGGGTGTGCCGAATTCGGTGTGCGAGACGCATGCGGGCGGCAGCGCTGGGCGCTGGGGCCGTCTGTGGGGCTCCCTTTGGGGCCACGAAACGTGTGAAGGGTGTGCCGAATTGGGTGTGCGGGACGCATGCGGGCGGCACCACTGGGGCCTTCGGTGGGGCTCCCTATGGGGCCACGAAACGTGTGAAGGGTGTGCCGAATTCAGTGTGCGGGACGCATGCGGGCGGCAGCACTGGGGCCTTCGGTGGGGCTCCCTATGGGGCCACGAAACGTGTGAGGGGTGTGCCGAATTGGGCGTGCGGGACGCATGCGGGCGGCAGCTTTGGGGCCTTCGGTGGGGTTCCCTATGGGGCCACGAAGCGTGTGAGGGGTGTGCCGAATTGGGTGTGCGGGACGCATGCGGGCGGCAGCATTGGGGCCTTCGGTGGGGCTCCCTATGGGGCCACGAAGCGTGTGAGGGGTGTGCCGAACTGGGTGTGGGTGACGCATGCTGGCGGCAGCACTGGGGCCTTCGGCTGAGCTCCTATGGGGCCACGAAACGTGTGAGGGGTGTGCCGAATTGGGTGTGGGTGACGCATGCGGGCGGCAGCGCTGGGGCCTTCGGCGGAGCTCCTATGGGGCCACGAAGCGTGTGAGGGGTGTGCCGAATTGGGTGTGGGTGACGCATGCGGGCGGCAGCACTGGGGCCTTCGGCGGAGCTCCTATGGGGCCACGAAACGTGTGAGGGGTGTGCCGAATTGGGTGTGGGTGACGCATGCGGGCGGCAGCACTGGGGCCTTCGGCGGAGCTCCTATGGGGCCACGAAACGTGTGAGGGGTGTGCCGAATTGGGTGTGGGTGACGCATGCGGGCGGCAGCACTGGGGCCTTCGGCGGAGCTCCTATGGGGCCACGAAACGTGTGAGGGGTGTGCCGAATTGGGTGTGGGTGACGCATGCGGGCGGCAGCACTGGGGCCTTCGGCGGAGCTCCTATGGGGCCACGAAGCGTGTGAGGGGTGTGCCGAATTGGGTGTGGGTGACGCATGCGGGCGGCAGCACTGGGTGTGGGTGACGCATGCGGGCGGCAGCACTGGGGCCTTCGGCGGAGCTCCTATGGGGCCACGAAACGTGTGAGGGGTGTGCCGAATTGGGTGTGGGTGACGCATGCGGGCGGCAGCACTGGGGCCTTCGGCGGAGCTCCTATGGGGCCACGAAACGTGTGAGGGGTGTGCCGAATTGGGTGTGGGTGACGCATGCGGGCGGCAGCACTGGAGCCTTCGGCGGAGCTCCTATGGGGCCACGAAACGTGTGAGGGGTGTGCCGAATTGGGTGTGGGTGACGCATGCGGGCGGCAGCACTGGGGCCTTCGGCGGACCTCCCTATGGGGCCACGAAACGTGTGAGGGGTGTGCCGAATTGGGTGTGGGTGACGCATGCGGGCGGCAGCACTGGGGCCTTCGGCGGAGCTCCTATGGGGCTACGAAACGTTGTACTGGGTGGGTGAAACGCAGGGAAGAGGGGGAGGAGGGAGGAGCAGGGGGAGGAGGAGTAGAGGAGAGGAGAGGAGAGGAGAGGACAGGAGAGGACAGGAGGACGCGGGGACCGTTTCTTCAAAACGAGGACCCAACACCACAGGATGGTTGGGAAACAAACGAACTGCACTCGCGCGCGTCGTCTCGCGCGCATGCCGGAATCTACCGAGCTCCCCAAACACATGCAAAAAGACACATAGTGCCGCAACTTCTTTTTTTGAAAACTCACGCGCGCGATCTTGCGAAATTTGAAGAGAACCATAGGTTGTTCAGCATTTACAGAAAATGCTACAAAATGGGCTTCGCGCGCGAATGTTGAAATCTTTCGAACGCCCTTGCGAGCGTGCCGTCGCAAAACTATTCTGCAACAAATGGGACGGAGTGCAGGCGCGCGTCGTCGCGAGCGCATTCCGAAATCCTGGGAAAAACCTTCGGTTTCGGAAGGATTTCACAATCGTGTGTCTATCAAACATACAAAAGCACAAGGTTTCGCAACACGGATTTTCAACAAAAGCGTGCGCGCGCGCTCTTGCGTCGTCGTCGTCGTCGCCGTCCTCCCTCCTCCATCGTCGTCGTCGTCACCGTCGTCGTCCTCTGTCTTTCCTCGTCGTCGTCGTCGTCATCCTTTTTGGCGTCGTCGTCGTTTCCGTCGTCGTTGTCGCCGTGGTCGTCCTTCCTCCTCCCTCGTCTTCGTCGTCGTCCGTCGACGGCGTCTCGTCGTCGTCCCTCCTATTTCGTCGCCGTCGTCGTGGTCGTCGTCGTCGTCGTTGTTGTCGCCGTCCTCCCTCCTCCTTCGTCGTTGTCGCAGTCGTCGTCCTCCCTCCTCCCTCGTCGTCGTCTTCTGCGTTGGCGACGTCGTCGTCGTCGTCGTCGTCTTCGTCGTCGTCATCGTCGTCGTCTTCGTCGTCGTCGTCGTCGGCGTCGGCGTCGGCGTCGTCGTCGTCGTTTGCGTCGTCGTCGTCGGCGTCGGCGTCGTCGTCGTCGTCGTCGGTGTCGTCGTCGTCGTTGTCGTCGCTGTCGTCGTCGCCGAAGTCGTCGGAGTCGTCGTCGGTGTCGTCGTAGTCGTTCCTGGCGTCGTCGTCGTCGTTGTCGCTGTCGTTGTCGGCGTCGGTTAAAAGTGCCATTTGTTACCCATTGTCACGATCTTAGGAGGGTGGGAGGGTGGGACGGTGGGACGGTGGGAGGGAGGGTGGGATGGGAGGGTCGTCTTGCGACCAAGTTGCGGGTGGGAGGGTGGGATGTTTGCACGAGCAGTGGAGAGGACAGTTTCAAGACAGTCACAGTGAATTGCACCACATGGATTGCACCACTTAGACTGCACCACATAGCTTGCACAACATACACTGAAGCGCATCGATTGGACCACATGGATTGCACAATCTTCATTGCACCGCATATGGTGCACCACATCGACTGCCCAACCCAGAATGCTAGAGCCACATTGTTTGGGGTTCACGCTGGTTAACATGTTACCGTCAGCAAGCCATCCAGCAAAGCACGGATTAGTGGGTGGCGCTGTTGTTACAAGCCGCCAGCAGCAACACGTACAGCACATACAATCAATATTTCGAATTTAGAAGCACTTCGGGTTCTACAGTTGCTCGATATTCACTAGATCCTTACATGGTTGTGCCTCTAGCGCTCCTCGTGCAACCAGGGTTTCTGGGGTAGGTAAATGGGGTTTGTTCTACAGTTAGCGTTCCTTGTGGTCGCAGGTTGACTCAATGGAGAGAGGGTTCCACCCCGTTTAATTGAAGGTGTGCAGGCTTCTTGCGAATTGCCTTCCGAAACGTCTGGCACCTGGTGCCCTGGAGCCTGCAGCTGTCTGGCTTTGGCGGGTCTTCCCCGCGCTGGCTGGATCCCTTCGCTACGACGTCGGGTGATTTCAAAGACGATGTTCTTCCTTTAGTGGTGGAAGGTTCCAGGTGACCGGGCTCCAAAGATCAGCCACCAACAGATTGTTCCGAACCTTGGCGCGCATCGTTCGGCGCCCAACCCGTGGGCCTTGAGCCCAGGCGCAGAGATACAGATCCAAAGGAGGCGTTTGGAACTGATGGCGCAGCCACCTCGGATGTGGATCTGCGCATTACCAGGACGAACAATTGGGATCGCGAGGGCTCAGAGCGAGGGCGCGAGTTGCAAGCGACGCAGTATGAACACGTGACAGGGACACGGGGGCGGGGAGGAGAACATGGTGCGCGCGGATGGCGAACGTTGGAACATGGCACGGTGGCAAAGAGACGGTGACGAGCGCTCGAGTTTTCGCTTGCATGGCACCCGGGTTTCTAAAGAGACGGCGAGTGGGGAGCGAGAGCGCACAGAACTACGATTGCAGCAGCGTGGCTAGGTACATGTAATGCTCGAGGCACTCAGCCGGCCCTTTCTTGAAACTGGAATGTGGGCCTCCAGAGAGCTTGTCCCAGAAGTATATGTCCCGTTGGAGGTGAACTCGCGGTTGCAATCCTCGTTGAGCCTCGTGAGATTCCCCGATTCCGTGTCCGCTCCACAGGCATTGTAGCTAAAGACCACCACCAACGAGTATTTCCGACGTCGGGTGGAGGAGGGTGAGAGTGACGAGGAGGGAAAGAGTAGGGGGCGAAGTCGAATCATGAGGATGGGAAGGATTGGAGCACGAGCAGGATAAGGAAGAGGAAGGGGCGGAGGATGAGGAGGTGTAACAGGTGGAATAGCAGCAGGGGAAGGCACACAGGTTGAAAAGACGAGCAGGGGGCATGACAAGAACGAGTAGGATTTGAACAGTACGCCCAGCGTGGGCAGGAGCAGGAGCGGGAGCAGAGGAGAAGGAGCAGGACGACCAGTAGCAGGATCGACAGCGGAGCCGAGGCACAATAACTGGAGAGGCGAGAGGGACGCCTCAATGCATCGGACCTTCGGGCCAGTCTTCGGGGTTGGCTCAGGCGAAGGCGAAAGCGAAGGCGAAGGCAAAAGCCGCTGGAGCACCAAAGAATAAGGCCTGCGGGAGAGTTGGCCTGGACCTTCCCCGAGATCCGGGCGTTGCAGTTGTTTCACACTGTGCGTTCTCGCCCGGCTTCGGGCCCCGGGACCCTCACGGATCGATCTGGCTCGAAAAATGAGGCAGAAAGATGGGGACCAGGGCTTTGGTCAAGCTCTTTTTGCGACGTCAGTCCTTTTCGTGACACAGGATCTCAGGGCTGTGTTTCTTGCAGCCGGCGCAAGCGCAGAGGAGAAACAGGACGGGCTGAATTGCGGCACCAGGAGTTTGCTTCCTTCCTCCTCTCCCCTCATCCTCATCACCCTCATCCCTCATAATCCTCTTCCCTCCTGTTCGTTTCATCACAGCGACAATCCTCATGATCCCATCACTCTGCGATAGTTTCCCCTGTCGTTCCGATCTGATGCATTCGCTCGCGGTTGCGCGAGGCTGCTACCGCTCGTTGACATTGCTGATGGCGATATGGTCCAAGTCGCGCTCGATTTTTGATGGCAGATTTCTGAGGCGCTGAGCGGCATACTGCTGGCGGGATAATCAAGTTCAGCACCACTTTTGGAGGAGGTACCCTCGTGGTCTTCGTGTCTGGACTTTCCACCTCGTGATGTTCTTCGTTGTTTGGGGCATCTCCACGGGGCCACTGTCCCTCGGCGAATGGGCTCCAGTTCTTGACCCGCGTCCGTGTGGCCAAGGTTCGTTTGCATCACGTGCACCTGCCGAGCACAAATGGCAGTGCAGCTATCAGGCTGTCACAACCAAACCACATGCCCTAACAGGACTCGAGTGCCAGTTTGCGCGTGGTGAAAAGAGATGACGCGCTGCGACCCGAAACGGTTTCAGGGGCAAACTCTCTAATGTAGCCGCCTGTTTAACCATCGTTGTGAAGCCCTTGCTTACGGTCTTGGGCGACTCCGCATCACACGATAGCGCCTATTCTAAAGACATGTGCGCGGAGTTGGGGCGAGGGCTCCAGTTCGCTCTCTTGCCGTGGTGTGGCGGCGCGTGGCAATCCAGCAACGTACGCAGGATGCAACGTCGACGTTACAACGTGAATTCCGAATCGGACAACGCCAACTAAGCGTATAACAGGTTAATCCAGGGAACCGCCCCTCAGGCCACCTAACATATTGGAAGCGTGGGGATCGAGTAAGAAATAAGGAAACGTGCAGTTGTGGTGGCAGTGGCAGTGGCAGTGGTCTGTGGCAGCGTGGGAGGTACAGTCAGTGGCAGCGGCAGCGGTAGTGGCAGTGACAGTGGAAGTGGTAGCGGTTGTGGTTGTAGCTGTCGAGAACGACGTGCTTCAGACGCCCCCCCCCCCCTGGGGGCGAGGGGGATGGGGGGGCGCCCATCGCATCGCAACCAGGGGATGGGGCGACGCCCCGCATCGCGCCCTGGTGGCGTGGTAGAGGCATGGGTCCATCGGGATGGGCACCAGGGTGTCGGGAGAGGCCCCTTCGCTTCTAGGATTCCGTCAGGATTGTGAGGGGTTCCACAGAATTTGTCAGGGTGCCCCAGCGTGTCCAAGGATTCCCCATATGCCCTAATGCCTCAGAGTTGAGGGAACCTCTCATGCGAAACGCTTGTTCGGGTCCAACAGACAAGCACTGCCTCGCAGTTCCCATGAACACCGCGATGTCGCAGGCATGGCGCTTGGGACATCCATGTGGCTGTTGCCCAGGGGTGATTCACGGGTCCTTTCGTGCCAAAATTTGCGTGGACCTCTCAAGCGAGCCGCCCGTCGAGTCCCTTGCCAGAGCCCATAGATCACCACGATGTGGCAGGCATGGCGCTTGAGCCACCTAAGAAGATGTCGGCTATGAGTATTCTTCACGTTTCGCGTATCCCCACCAGCCCATTCAGAAGCCTTGCCCACGAGAGTTGGCGAGAAAACGGACGAAGGCACACATCTAGGGAAACAGCGCGAGCAACCAGGATGAACCGATAGATCTCTGGGAGCACGGGGATGGCCTTGGAAGGCCTCTTCGGGCTATCCCTGGGGGCCGCGTGGGGGGCGCAGACCACCTGTCGCCCAAAGGGTTGGTGGGATTTCTCAGCCATCAGCTGGTGTTGCTGCTGCTGGTGGTGCTGCTGATGTTGTTGCTGCCTCTGCTGGTGCTGCGGCTGGTGATCGAGAAGGCCTGTTGGGGCCATCCCTGAGAGCATCGAACAAAAGATGGGGGGTCCTCGATTTCGGCACCTTCCTGGGAGCCCTCAAAATCGCCTCTTGGAGCTGTCCTGGGGCTCTTTAGGAGGGTTGTGGAGCTCTCGTGGGACTCTTTTAGGGGTCTTAGGGCCCTCTTGGGGCCCTCTTGGGGCTCTCGTGGGGCCCTCTTGGGATCCCTGGAAGGCCTCTCAGGGCCATCTTGAAGGCCATCGATCAAAGGATGAGATGGTGTAACGTTCAGCCCCCCCCCCGACGATGCCAAAATGGGGCCAACACCTTAGTATAAACCAATGATTTTGGCTTCCTCGCCGAGGCCGTTTTGGGCGCCCTGGCACCTCGCGGAACCCCCCAACACAGTCCAGGCGAGGGGGTAGCGGGAGGGGTAAACCCTTCCCCGTAGGGGAAGAGGGTTTTTCCCAACCATCCTGTGGTGTTGGGTCCTCGTTTTGAAGAGACAGCGCCCCGCGTTCCCTCCTTCTCCTCCTCCCGCTGCCCCCTCCCTCCTGCCATCATCATCATCATCATCACCATCATCATCGTCATCATCATCATCATCGTCATCATCATCATTATCATCATCATTATCATCATCATTCCTCTCCTCTCCTCTCCTCTCCTCTTCTCCTCTCCTCTTCACCCACCCAGTACACTGCTTCGTGGCTCCATAGGGAGCTCCACTGAAGGCCCCAGTGCCCGCGCCCGCATGCGTCCCCATTTCGGCACACCCCTCACACGTTTCGTGGCTCCATAGGGAGCTCCACCGAAGGCCCCAGTGCCCGCGCCCGCATGCGTCACCCACACCCATTTCGGCACACCCCTCACACGTTTCGTGGCTCCATAGGGAGCTCCACCGAAGGCCCCAGTGCCCGCGCCCGCATGCGTCACCCACACCCATTTCGGCACACCCCTCACACGTTTCGTGGCTCCATAGGGAGCTCCACCGAAGGCCCCAGTGCCCGCGCCCGCATGCGTCACCCACACCCATTTCGGCACACCCCTCACACGTTTCGTGGCTCCATAGGGAGCTCCACCGAAGGCCCCAGTGCCCGCGCCCGCATGCGTCACCCACACCCATTTCGGCACACCCCTCACACGTTTCGTGGCTCCATAGGGAGCTCCACCGAAGGCCCCAGTGCCCGCGCCCGCATGCGTCACCCACACCCATTTCGGCACACCCCTCACACGCTTCGTGGCTCCATAGGGAGCTCCACCGAAGGCCCCAGTGCCCGCGCCCGCATGCGTCACCCACACCCATTTCGGCACACCCCTCACACGTTTCGTGGCTCCATAGGGAGCTCCACCGAAGGCCCCAGTGCCCGCGCCCGCATGCGTCACCCACACCCATTTCGGCACACCCCTCACACGTTTCGTGGCTCCATAGGGAGCTCCACCGAAGGCCCCAGTGCCCGCGCCCGCATGCGTCACCCACACCCATTTCGGCACACCCCTCACACGTTTCGTGGCTCCATAGGGAGCTCCACCGAAGGCCCCAGTGCCCGCGCCCGCATGCGTCACCCACACCCATTTCGGCACACCCCTCACACGTTTCGTGGCTCCATAGGGAGCTCCACCGAAGGCCCCAGTGCCCGCGCCCGCATGCGTCACCCACACCCATTTCGGCACACCCCTCACACGTTTCGTGGCCCCATAGGGAGCTCCACCGAAGGCCCCAGTGCCCGCGCCCGCATGCGTCACATTTCGGCGTTTCGTGGCCCATAGGGAGCTCCACCGAAGGCCCCAGTTCACATGCGCATGCGTCCCGCACACCCATTTCGGCACATCCCTGACAGGTTTCGTGGCCCCATCATCCACCGGAGGCCCCAGTGGCGGCGCTCACATGCGTCACCCACACCCACCCAATTCGGCACACCCCTCACACGTTTCGTGGCCCCATAGGGAGCTCCACCGAAGGCCCCAGCGGCCGCGCTCACATGCGTCCCCGCCACCCATCCCGGCACGCCCCTCACAACAACAGGTTTCGTGGCCCCATGGGGAGCTCCACCGAAGGCCCCAGTGCTGCCGCCCGCATGCGTCACCACCCGCACCCAATTCGGCACACCCCTCGCACGTTTCGTGGCCCCATAGAGACTGCACCGAAGGCCCCAGTTGCGTCGCTCACATGCGTCCCCGCCACACATCCCAGTACACCCCTCACGCGCTTCGTGGCCCCATAGGGAGCTCCACCGAAGGCCCCAGTAGCGGCGCTTACATGCGTCTCCGCCACCCATCCCGCCCCCCCCCCCGCAGCAGCATCATGTTTCGGGGACCCATAGGGAGCTCCACTGGAGGCCCCAGTGGCGGCCCGCACATGCGTTTCCGCCACCCATGTCGGCACGCCCCGCGCGTGTTTCATGTCCCCATAGGGAGCTTCGCCGAATGCCCCAGTGGCACCCATCTCGGCACACCCCTCACACGTTCCGTAATCCTATGGGGAGTTCCATTGAAGATGAAACCCGCAGCTGCGGTACTGACAACTGCATATGGTTGGGTTCTTCGCCAGGCTAATTTGGCAGAGTTTTTTTTGGCAGAGGAAAGAGGAATCTAGTTAGACCACCTGCGCCCAGAGGGCTGGTGGGATTTCACAGGTCCGTTCGCGCCCAGCTTGCGTGGACCTGTCATGCGACACACCCGTTTCTGACCAGGCGGCGGTTCTGATTTCAGAGCCCCGTGATCACCTCGATGTAGCAGGCATGGCGCTTTACCCACCCAGAGGTGTCTCGACCAGGGGCGTGTCATGCGACCGTTCGCATTCAGATGGTTGGGGCTTCTCAGGCGAAACGATTGTTTTGGCTCGGTCGACGCCCCCCCCCGTTTGGAGTCCCATAGCCACTGCAGTGTAGCAGGCAGTGCCCTTGAGCCACCCGAAAGGGTGTCGACCAGTTGTATGTGACGGGCCAATTCGCATTTCGATTGTGCGGACATTCTTGCCGACATACCTTTTCGGGCCTATTCGACGAGTCTCCCTTCACAGCTCCATGGTCACAGCGATGCAGCAAACATGGCAGTTCAGCTGCCCATGGAGCTGACGTTCAGGAGTGGTTCACGGGCCCGTCCGCGCCCAGATTGTGGTGACCTCTCTTGTGAAACGCCCCCTTCGACCCAGCAGACGAGCCTGTGTTCAGAACCCCTTGGTTGGAGCGATGCAGAAGGCACGACATTCAAGCCGCCCAGAGGGAGGTGACCGTTCGGAGTGGTGCACGGGCCCTTTCGCGCCCAGATTGCGAGGACTTCTCTTGCGGAACGACCGCTTTTGCCTATGCTTTTTGCAGAAGCGCATTGCTACAGCGATTTAGCATAGATGGCATTTGAGCCACCCAAGCACGTGCCGACCAGGGCGAGGGGTATTTCACGGGCCCGCTCGCGCCCATATTGCGGGCAGAGCCATGATCATTGCGATGTAGCAGGCATGGAGAGCACTTGAGCCACCCACGGACGTCTCGACTAGGGGTGCTTCTCTCAGGTGAAACGCTTGTGTTGGCCCCGTAGATTTCGACGCACGGGTGGCCTCGAATCCAATCGTGCTGGTGTTGGTTCTGGCGTGGTTGATTTGGTAGGACGGCTCTTCGGAGGCAGTTGCTTGAAGGGTTGCGCTCTGGCTCTATCACAGCTGTGTTGTCTTTTTGAGGGTTGGCGATCTCGATGCACGGGCGGTCTCAAATTCAATCGTGCTGGCTCGCGTTCTGGCGTCTTCGGTTCGGTACGCGGGCTTTGTGAGAGCAGATACTTTAAGGGTCGTTTTGAAAGGGTTACCTCTGCAATCCCAGGGAGACTCGGTGCAGACTCAGCAGGATCGTGCGACCAGGGCTGCGCCCAATGGGGAGATGATATTTCTAGGGCTGTGCCTAGAGGATCCTGGGATCCTTCTCGGGCCGTTTACAGCCTTCGCCGGATCCGATTCGACTTGTGTGCATTTCAGGTATCAGGATCCTACAGAAGCTGTTTACATGCCTATTGACTGAATCCTGCCGTAATTGTGCACATATGTTTGTATTCTGGCCGAGCTGGACACAGCCCTACTTGGATCCTACTAGACTTTTTTCTGCACTAGTAGGATCCTCTTAGAGCTAGTCACAGCCCTAGCAGGATCTGGTAAGGGCTTGGCGCATTCCAAACAGTAGGATCCCAACAGATTTGGGCACAGTCCTGGTAGGACCCCACCAGGGTTGTACCCATTCTGAAATTTATCCGACTAGTGCTGCGCCCGCTTCTGGCAGGGCCTTATTAGGAGTGTGCCCAGCTCTCAAAGGATCGTGGTAGGGCTGAAACCAGCTCTAACAGGAATCAGCCAGGGCCGAAGGTGCATATTTTTTGGTGTGCCCAACCCTAGTAGAATGTTACCAGGACTCGACCCTGCCCTAGCAGGATCTTACTAGGGCTGTACCCAGCTTTCGTCAGCTTCGAGCTGTACCCACCTCTAGTTGTATCCTACTTGGGCTGTGCCCGGCTCAAGTAGGATCCCACTTGGGCTGTACGCAGTTCTATGAGGATGCTACTAGACCTGCGCACGACTTGTGAGATGGCTGTGCCTAAATATGGCAGGATCCGACTATGCCTGCACCGAGCTGTAATAGGAGCCTGCTAGGGATGATAACCAGCTCCTATCAGGATCCTACCAGAGCTATACACAAGTCTAGTCGGATTTTGCGAGGGCGATGCGCAGTTCGAAATGGATCCTACTAGGGTCGACCCAGCTGGTTGTATTCAGCTCTATCACGATCCAAATCGGTGTGCTTGAAGGCAGTGGCCGAGATCGACATGACGTGGAAGCCGCATGGTTTCCGAGGCTGTGGCGTTTCCGGGAGCCTCAGCCTCGCCCGCCAAATCTAGCAATTCAGTAATATGTGTTTTTGTCCCTTGGCACATCTGTTTGTAAGCATATCTTTATCCGGAAGGATTTCGCCCTCTGCCGCCGGCCCCCTCTCTATCAGAATGGGCTATGTCAGAGCTGAGCTTCACTTCCTTTGTGCCGTTGCGAAACGATGTCGGAACCTCCTGCGAGGGCGATTGGGTAAGCGGCAGACTCAGGTCCAGACCGTATTGTTGAAGTCCGAATTGCGAGCCGAATTGTTATGCTCGAGTTCCCTTTCGTGCCATATATTGGAGCAGCGATTCGGAGCTTCTTGAGGCTACGTTGGGCAACATCGCGTGGCTTTGGATGCATATTTGGGATGCCTCTTAGAAGCCCGTTGGGGCGGCTTGGCAGCCACTTGGAGCCCTCTTTCGCCCTCGAGGGGCTGAAAGCTCAAATCTTTGGTTCGTGGTCCTGCTTTGGACCTCTCTTGGCGCCATCTTCAGGAGTTCTTGGGCCGTCTTGGTTGCCACCTGAGCTGTCCTGGTGCCCTCTGGGGCCGTCTTGGGGCTCCCCTGGAGGCTTCTTGGGCCGTCTTGGGGCGGTCTTGGCTTAGAAGGTGCGAACACCGTGTAATATACTACAGATTATGGCCTCGACGGCGAGAATCTGCGGCAATGCACGAGGGATCGTGGCCTCGAAGGCGATACTGCTGTGTAATGTACAAAGGTTGATGGCCCTGGGGACGCGAATATTGTTTAATTTTCAATGGTGTATGGCTTCGGGGGCGCGGATGTTGCGTAATCTACAAGGGTTTATGGCTTCGGGGACGGGAATTTGGCAAATTGTATAAAAGGTTTGTGGCCTCGAGGAAGCAACTATTGCGTACTTTACGAAGTGATGGCTTCGGGGGCGCGACCATTGTGTAATTTACAAGGGTTTGCAGCCTCGATGGCACGACTATTGTATACTTTACAAGGTTGTATAGCCTCGGGGACTCGAGCCTTGTGTAAGTTACGTAGGTTTGTGGCTTCGGATACGCGAGCATCGCGTAGTTTACCAGGGTGTATGGTCTCGGGGACGCGACTATTCCGTAATGTACGTGGGTTTATGGTCTCGGGGACGCGAATATTGTACAATGTGCGATGGTTTATGGCTTCGGGGACGCGACTATTTTGTAATTTACGGGGGTTATGGCTTCGAGGCCGGGAAGATTGCGTGAGTTACGAAAGTTTTTGGCCTCGTGGACGCGAACATTGCATAATGTACGAAGGTGTATGGCCTCAGGGGCACTAATCTAATGTATTTTTACGTGTCCCACGGCTCCCCGGGAAGTCTGCGAACCCCGGAGAGGCGCGGTAAAGTGCGATTTGTCGACCCCCCCCCCTCGCGTGCTCAGTAATAATTAACAACAGGAAGCAGCAAGTAGAGCCATCACCTGTGACATTGGAAACTGAAACTGGCGCAGGGAGCAGCAAACCTTCGCCCTACAGCCTGGCGGCCCCACAAGGGGGCTGGCGGATACATATATGTATACATATATAATTATACAAGTCCATACAAACCTGTACCTCGTGCATGTGTATACATACACATACATGTGCACTTGTACCTTTTAAAGATACATGCCAGATTTCGTTCCGAGGCCTGGTGCGATGCGATGAGGTTTGGAACCCCGCGTACCTCTTGTTGGGGGCGCCTGGAAAGCAAGCCCCGTCGAATTGGGCTCAGAAGGCCGGCGAACCTTGTCGTCGTTGAGGCTGTAGCTGTAGTTGTGGAAGTACCAGTGGTGGCAGCGTACTGGCGGGCGGCCTGCGGTGGCCTGTCGGCACGATCGGCAACGGTAATCGCATACGTTTGTCCTGGGCAATGGCGTCTAAATGCCTCGCCTGCTTCCAGGCGGAGGAGGAGTGATGTGGAAGGGCAAGATGGAGCAGAAGGTAGGATGCAATTCCTGGGAGGTTCATCTCACCATCGGCGCTGGCACATCCGTGGGGGTGGGAGACTGACCTGATACGGCAAAATCCCGCTCAATCCGCTTCAGTGTCGCCGAATCCGGCCTTGAGCCCAACCTGTCCAGCTTGATAGCCTTTCCTCGTGCCTGCGAAGACCTCCCAGGAGTTGGCTCCTGACGGAGGGGCGAGGCGGAGCAGAAGGGGTCTACAGACCACGCGCCCCGGGGGAAGGCAGTGGTGGCCCCTGTGTCAGTGTCCTTCGAGGGCAGCGCGGCCCGACCTGCGGCACAAGCGCAGCAGCAGAGAAAGGCGTAAGGCGCTCAGCCGCTTCAGTTCGCCCTGCCTGTGACAGCGCCCCTGCCATCGACGGAGTGGGTGCCGAGGTCGATGGTCCTGAGAACGTGGATTAGCCCCATGTGCGTTTGACCGGTTGGGCTCCACCGATAGTCTGCAGCCTATGTTGGCCTTCATTGCAACGCCTGGATCGTATTGAGGGGCTTCGGTGGATAAGCGCACGTTGGCGCCAGCACACGTTCTGCGGATCGGGTCGGGGATCCGGTCGGAAGAGGGGCGGGGATCGGGACAGATGTTCTTGCGTTTCCATCGGTTCTCGGCGCTTCCCTGGCCTCGGGATGCTCTCCAGCAGCTGCTTCTCGCAGAGAGCGCTGTGAGTGTGCCCAGATCGACCTGGACGGCCGTCGGAGGCTCGAGATGTGACCCGACAGCCAGGCGACGAGGATCACTCGGGTCGGACGAAAAGAGGGGATGTCGGCGGCGAGCGAGGAGGGGAAGTGAGAAGGAGAAGGCCTTCTCAGAAGGCGGCGGGACTTCTCAGAATCCCTCCCGCCTTCTAAGAAGAGTTCTGCGTCTTCGGGAAGGGCTTGTATTATCCCAGTGCGACCCTACCTAGGAGTTGGAGCATTTAGGAAAGCAGCATCTACATCTACACCGACAGCTACATATACATCTACACCTGCATCTACATCTATATCAACATCAACAGTGAGACTCACATCTACATCTACATCTACACCTACGCTCGGCTGCGCTGTGTTGTGCTAGGCTATGATATGCTCTGCCATGATGCGCTATGCTATGCTATGCTATGCTATGCTATGCTATGCTGCGCTATGCTATGCTATGCTATGCTATGCTGCGCTAGGCTATGCTAGGCTAGGCTCTGCTATGATATGCTATGCTGCGCTATGCTAGGCTAGGCTAGGCTAGGCTATGCTATGCTCCGCTATGTTATGCTATGATTTGCGATGATATGCTGTGCTATGCTACGCTATGCTGCGCTGTGCTATGCTAAGCAATGCTATGCTGTGCTGTGCTGTGCTATGCTATGGTGCGCTATGCTATGATGTGATATGCTATTCTAGGCTGAAATATGCCATGCTATGATATGCTTGGCTACGCTGTGCTATGCTATGCTGTGTTAATGCTGCGCTGGGCTATGCTGCGCTGCGCTAAGCTAAGGTAAGTCCAGCTATGCTAAGCTAAGCTAGGCTAGTCTAGGCTAAGCTAAGCCACGCTAAGCTAAGCGATAAGCTAAGCTAAGCCAAGCTAGGTTAGGCACAGCTAGGCTAAGCTACGCTAAGCTTCGCTAAGCTAAGCTGGGTGAACCCAGGGGGCGCAACTGAGGGAACCGCGGGGCGGGGACTGGGAGAACCGCCCGGGGCGTTTTACAGTGCCCGGCCCCTTTAAGCAAACAAAGTAAGAACCCTCTAGGCAGAGCCTAGGTAGGGAAAAACTTGTCAGGAGGCCGGGGGACTTCCGAGCCTTCTGAGAAGGCCCGCCCCTTCTCATTTCCCTCCCGGGCTCGCCGCCGAGGATGGGGAAAGAGGGGATTACGAAATGTGCTGCTTGTAACTGGCTCCGGCCCCACAGTCGGGCGCTTTCCTCGGTACATTGGCGCCTCCTGCGCCAGGAAATCCAGTTACGTGAGATGATTCGCCCGACCCTTTCATCCGACCCGACGACGTGGTGGGCCAATTCAGAAACCAGAAAGCACCCTGGCTTGGCTTACGTACTCCTTGCCTTGACTCTTCAAGGCGAGGCTGGACTTGAGGGGCCCGATCGTTCATTCCTGCCTGTTCTGCTCCTGGTTGTCTCAGCGTTTTGGTTGCCACTCGGCCACCCGCGAACTCAGCTTGCGAAGCCCCCGGGAAAATGTCAGACCTTCTTTTTCCTTGTTTGAAAGCGGCTCGCGTTCTATGCTCTCTCCCACCTTCGTGGCCAGCCTGTACGCCGTCGGCGAAATCAAGGAACGTGTGGAAGTGCATGGGTCGCGCAAAATACCCGTGAACCCCATAGCCGGGGTGACATTGCAGAAGGTGAGTTTTGACATGACCTTGCCAGCCCACGTGGAGAGGAGGTGGTCGAGGATGACACGCCATACCCTGGCCTTCTATGACGACTTGCGCATAGAACTCCCAGAGTTTCGAAACGAACCTTTGGAGGGTAAGGCATCGCCTTGTAGAACTTCAGTGTAGTGCGCCGTCCATATTTCAGGGGGACTACCGTCTTGTGATGCTGGCTGTACGGCGAGTTGTGATAGGCGTGATGAACTCGGCTCTCTGCGTCCAGTCTTTCTGTCCGCGCGTCTATCCTATGTTGTGGAGGATGTCGGTTTCATGCGAGTCCTTTGAGAGGGAGGGAGGGGGGGGCGGAGGAGGAGGAGGAGGAGGAGGAGAAGGAATACCAACGATACAATGTCATGCGAAGTATGTATGCCTCTCAGCATCCAGCACTCAGCGCACCACGTCAATTGCGCGCAGAAGCAACCAATACCTCAATCGCCGCGCTATTTGGGTGGCCCTTCGATCATGGGCTGCTGGGAGCTCATGGGGTAGGGCAAATCCGATCCTGGTCTGGTGCTGGCCCGTCGGACTGCCGCCGCCAGGCCTTCTGCCGTGGAAGCGCGGTGGGCAATTCCTCCTCGCGAAGACTTCCTCGGGAGCTTTCTAAAGCAAGTGCATGGTGGCTGCGCAGTGCGGGTGTGTCGGCAACTGCGCGTCGGGGTGGGGCCGCCGAAGCAGGGATCTGCCTGTGGCGCGCGGACAACGGCTTCCGTTGCAGACATCGCAAGAGGCGGCTAACGTTTTTTTGTTGTACACATGTGCACGTCATCTTCATGTCTGGAAAGCGTAAGTCTGTCGGTGGGATGCGCTGCGGCTTGGAGATGAGACGTTGCTCGACGCCATCTTTGCACGCGGTGGCTGGTTCCCTCGGCAGCGATTGCCCGAGGACTGCGCAGCGCATCTCTCAGAGGAGGCTGCGTGCGACCTGCTCGTGGATGCACGGTCCTTCTCCTGCCGCGCCAGGCGCTGGTCGCGCGACGGCGTGCCGAGCCGCGCGCCCCCCCGCGCTGTGCCGCGCGCTGCGTCCTGCCTGTGAGCGGACGAAGCGCAAATGCCTTACACGTGTCCCGCAAAAACATAACAAATGTCCCCAGGCGCGCCAAGGGTTCCATGACATTCCGCCACTGGCCTTGGGAATACAGGAGGCCCGCGTGGAAACAACAATATAAGTGCAGTCATGCACCCCGCAACTATGTCACAATTACCCCCCCATACACACCCCGCAAGTACCTCCCAAGTATCCTGGAACTGCCTCCACAGATGCACCAACAATGCATCACGCATACACCAAGCAATGACCACGTCACACGTATATTTGAGGCGCGCCCCGCGTTATCTCGCGGACCATCAGAAGCAACGTTCAGTACGCCTGGGTCTCTTTGTTCTCCAGGTGCGCCGGCCTCATGCTTCCGTCGCTTGCTTCAGAACTGCCCCCAGGTTTTCGACGTGCCCCTGTCGGCACATGCAGCGGCTGCCTCCGTGCGCGGGGGAGACCATTGGTCGAACTGGCTTGGGCAGCATAAGGAGCTCTGATAATCCCGCACGAGCAGATCTACCGCCCCGCGTGGGTGGGCGTGTTCTGTGCACTCGTACTGGGATCTACGAGAAGCCTCGCTAGATTGCCGCTGGCCGACGTTTGCGGTCTCTGCAGTTCACGCCGCGCGCCGCCGCTATTCCTGGAAGGCCTGCGAGAACTTGCCGATGGTGCCCACACTGGTTTTCTAGTCGCACCAGAAGCGCCCGCGCTCTTGCTGGCGGCGCGACAAGAACCCACGCCATGCGGCCCCGCCCGGATCTTCATTTGGCGCGATGAAAGTTAGGGGCCGCATGGCGCGGACTTTTGTTGCGTCGCCAGCTGGGGCCCGGGCGATCCGGAGCCGGGAGAAATAGCATGCGGGCGTTATCGCTGGGTTTTTGCTGCGACTCCACAGGGCGCGCGGGCACGCCGTCATGGAGCCCGTGCGCGCGGAAGTCTGTGCTTTGGGAGCAACTGCCACCGCAATTAACGCCACGCCGCTGCATGGCTTTAGACGAGCAGGCGTCGTTGAGCGGCCCTTTCAAAAATTTAGAGGCCCATGGGGAACTCTTGGTTGAGCTGCCCCTTGGAGGCGTTGAGCTCTTGGCAGGATGCCCCCCCGCACAGTCCTGCGCCAGCTTAAACTTTGGATGGTGGGGGCAAGTTTATCGTAGCGCAACTCGAGTTTCGTCACAGTCGTTATGACGAGACTTGTGACTACTTCTGAGCTGGAATTTACGCCGCGTGGGCTAAAAACATGTGGTTGACGATTCGTCTGTATCTCCCTCCATGCTGCAAGCGTCAGAGATTCCCGAGGAGCTTGGTGAGCGCGCGTTCTGTCAAGTAGAAGGCGATCTTCGGACAGGGGACGGCTTTTGGGACCGGACGAGGTTTGGAAAGTGTCTCGAGCACCCCCAGTCCCGAAACAGCCTGAGTAGGCAGCAGGGAATGGCTATGACGGTATTTCGGTAGGTGTGGCTCGTGCGTGCGCCCCGTCCTGAGGCCGAGAGTAATGTGTCAATACCAGATGACGTATCTGAAGGGCTGCGCCCTCTGCCGCTAGCTTCCCAAGCTGCGCCACATTGTGGCCTTCATTGAGCCTCTCGGGGGCCTCATGGGGCCCCTGGGGTCATCTTCGGACCAAATTTGGTAACTGCGGAGCTACCTTAGGGCCTCCAGGGACTATTTTGAATGCGTTTTGGGTTCATATTGGTGCCTTGTTGGTCCATCCTGGGCATTCGGACATCGTGGTAGCAAACGTGGGACAAGCAAACAAGAGAGAACACTATGGCTTCTCAATGTCGTTGGTTGAGCTATCAGAGAGGCATCTTGGAGACATCGTCGGCCGTCTTGGGCTCTTGAAGCCCTCTTCGGGGCCTCCAGGAGGCGTCTCCGAGGCCTCTTGGGTCCTGCTGGCCGCGCTGTGGCGGCC